GCTACCATTCTCGGTAGAATGGAACATGGTATCCGGCTTTGAGTCGATGATGTGAAAGTAAATCAATAATATGACGTCATTATCAGATAATTTGTCCTATTGAAGTGCATTTACCATTAGTTGTTTATTATAAATTCAATATGCATTGAAAAATATCATATTTTTTCGAAAATTATTCAATTGTTAAGCAAACTGACTGTATTTATTATTTTGGACGTCATTTTGTGTCTCCCCTGATTCTCATCCGGGGGCCATCTTTCCTTAGGTGACATTTATGACGCTTTCGCCGCATTTCATCATCTTTTGGTAATCAGTTTATTTGGATAGGCTATCGGCATTATGTAGCATTTATTGTATTTGATATTTCGGCACGGATATTTTTTGGGGGGAAGGGGTGGAAGGGGATGATTTTATGATAGGAGGTTCTAGGTAAGACTCTTGTGCTACTTGGCACACCTTGATATTTGCAATTTTCTTCAGCCTCTTCTGTTAACTTTCAAGTGAGGCAAATCTATTTTTGGATTTCCTTCTTTACTGCTTTGGTGTCTAGTGCTTCCCATAGGTCAATGATTGTACCTACATCATATTCATAACTGTGTTATCTTATGATGGGCTTACTGACAACAATGTCACCTATTGGCTATTGCCATTCGTAAACACATTTTCAAATTTAGAGTTAAAAGTTGGCAAAGTATATGTAGGTATATATTTGACTCAGAACTACCTGCTACATGCAATTATGTTTATGTTCATCTTGCACTATAATTATTAATGATGTATGAACCACATATCCCCTGCCAATTTTGATGACATGTTTTGCAATTTGCATTTTGATAATGGAAATGAGTTTGAACTTTAACTTATTTAAGAAATTTGTTATTTTCAACTAGTTTTCCGATTATGTCCGAAGTGTTTGTCACTTGTCCGTCCGATTTCCGAATCGGAATTCGGAAATTTTCGGAATTCCAAAATTTTCGGTTCCGATTGACACCTCTAGACTGCGGCCCCCGGTGCAGTCAGTGGTGGATGGAGCTGGTTTTCCTGGGTAGATGATGAGAACAATAAGAATACGGCGGGCGCTATTTGTTTTGTACTGGGGATGCAATATAAACTGTTAAACCTATAGCAACAACTTTTCAATTATTGTTGTATTTTTCATTGTTAATGGATACCTAATTAGTAATGATCGAAATTATCCAGTGTTCCAAAGCAGATGTCAAGGCTGTATGTATTCGTTGCGCCTAAGGTGAACTATATTCGTTGTAATTAGATAAAAGTTTCATTATTGAAAGCAAGATAAAGCCTTAGGGCAGGGTTTTGTCGGTTCTTACATCGGTGACTGGTCGTTTGGCTGTGAACATGCTACACCTCATGTGAATTATTCGATTCAGTTCGATGTTGGGCCATTTTTGTTTTTGCATTTCCTGCTCCGATCTTTTAACCCTTTATATCTGTGAAAAATTGTGTTTAAGCGACTCTACTTAACTTTTAGTGTCGTGGCTACCTTAGTGACCCCCATACCATTGGCCTGATGCTGGTGGCTGCGGCCTCTGGGCTGTAAACAAACTGCTCGTCCAGTAGCTGCACTGTCGGCGACAGCGGGGGCGGCGGCGGCAGCAGCTCCTGGTAGGAACCCCACCGCTCCTACCCAGTGACCTGTTCCCACACGGTGTCACAGCTGACTCTGGTGTGCTAATGGGCCGACGGGCCCGTCGGCGGCCGGCGCCGTTCGGAGAGGTGTGGGTGCCCGAGTCACCCGCGAGGTGTGGGTGCCCAAGCCACCCGCGGGGTGTGGGTGCCCGAGCCACCCGCGGGGTGTGGGTGCCAGCTCTGCTCGTGGCGGTGTGGGTGTTATGGGTGCCGGCTCTGCCCACGTGACGGCGAGCCTTTCTATGTCATCTGCTATGGGGTTATGGGACCAGCTCTAGCAGCTGCAATGTGGGTGCCAGAACGACCCGGCACATGCTGTGGCAGCCCGCTCTGGCCGTGCCGTGGGTGTGGTACAGCGCGACAGTCGGCGCTCCTATGAGCGCTCCATTACCACTTACCACTGATGTTCGGCATTGTGCGCGCCCATCAAAGGACGGCAGGATGGCGGCATTGTGGCGTCACCGGCGGCCTGTGAATGGCCGGTCAGGTGCGGACCGGTTGTCTGAGGCCCCACTGGGCCGGGCGGCCGCCAATGCGAATCCACCGTGTGTTGCAACTTGGACCCACTGGGTCATTACAGTTGGGAATTCCTAAGCTGAAATGAGAGCGATCGATGTAAGACGGTCTCACTTTTTATTCATTCAGTCGCCTTTGTTTGATCGTTTTCTATATTGTTTTGCTGTCTTGGGAATACGATAGTCGCACCGCATGACATTTTTTTTTTTGTCCCGCAGTCATAAAGTTCATGATACATAAATGACAATGGTTCCCTGCTAGTTCGCCTGGGTGATTATGCGTAATGCTTTAACCCCTTGAGTAGTCTGGTGTACGCCTACCGAGCGTGCTATCCTATAGCGAATGAAATAATGAAAGGTGGTTTGTTTACCAGATAATCATATTTTCCTATTACGTCGCTTATTTGAGCGTAACTTGAGCTGAAAGTGTCCTCACTGCTCACAACATTCACCTTATGTTGCAGTTTTCCCATAATGCTCACAGCATTCACCTGTTATTTATGATGTGGTTGATCTAGAATTTTGAGAGAGAAAAAAAAAACTCGATTGCAATACTGGTAAACAAGCTGCAGAGCATGTCCATCGGTGCTGTTTATGACGGTTGTGTTGATAAATGTCACCCGACATTATCGGCATGCAATGACTGCAGTCAACATGCAAATGGCTGCCTGCTCCCGAACGAAGCTTGAAATGCTTGGCACCGTCATGGATAAGAAATGCTGTTTGAACCTCCGTTACTTGCTTCCAACAAACGGTAGAAACAGTGGATGCCATCTGAGCTTCACAAGTGTTATGCAGTTGTATTGCTAAGACAACCATCATCATATCAATAAGCTTCATAAATGAACAAAGATATCTATGCCTACTGCATGAGTTTGCTCTTGATTTAAGACAAGTTCACATGGGACGAGAGAGTCGAAGAGAACGTTAGATGACATGGCCAAAGTTGAGTCGATCATCACCGAGAGACTCATCGAAAACGCCTCGTTATTTTGTCCGAGGAAATCGGCGCCCTGCCAAAGCCTCCTTACAGCTGCCCCAACTTCGGAACGGAAGAACTTTCTGATGAAGGTCTGAATCCTTATCGTAAACTAACCATGCCAACAAGCAGGCTGAAGCTGATGAAGAGCGCTGGATGGTAATGTTATTGTGTAATATGTTGTCACGTAGCGGAGGCCTCTCCAGTGCTGGCCGTTGAGGCGCCTCTGCGTCTGAGACCCAACCTCGCCAATGCTGTGACGAAGCCGGCGCGCCGCCCACCCTCTCTCGGTGCCCGTGGGTGAGTGGTGTGTGGGGTTGGACCGAAGCCGCACGCTCCCCAGCAGCGCTTGAACCGTCCTGAATGGCGGTGGCCACCGGCACCGCATGTCAATGCTCCATTCCGAGTCGTATCTGGCGCGTTTCACCGCCCGAGCAGCTGGTGGCACTCGAGGGCTAAATCCCTTGAATCCCCGGGGCAATTTGCCGGGCAGAGATTGAAATTGTAATGGCGCTGCCAATAGAGGCTGATGTGAATGCTGACTTTGACGCTCACCAATCCTATGCTGGCTCTATTTTTGTCACTGCAAAGCTGGCTATGATCCGTGTTTTGTGGGTAACTGCTGTCACTGCTCCCGTTTTTGTTAAAAGCTTGATGTGTTGGGGCCGTTGCCATGGTATACATTTCATATTTTTGTGGTTTGTTCTGATTGACATATAAACGTATTATGCTATTTTTGTTGAATAGGTTTGTTTAAGTTGTTTCATCTTCCATTTGTATCATCAATGATCTTTCTCCAATGACATTTTGCGGTTCATATATGTATTGTATACCCAACCATCCTTTTTTTGTTCATCATTATGATCAGAATTTGTACATTGCGACATACTTATATAGAAGAAGAACATGAGTGATGAGATGAATTTCAGCTGTTTTTTTATCATTGATCGGCGTCGGTGTCGGCGCGCCCCTAACCCCCAACAAACAAAAATATTATGATTGATCGTTTGTGTATATGTATGTAAGCGACGAATATGTCGAAGTTACGCAGAACACAATTTGCGGATCTTTTTCCTAAATCGAGGGGCGTTCGATATGAAATATAGTACAATGTTAATTTTGTCAAGCTAGGTATCTATGTAGTATGTGTGGGTAATGAACGGTTTCGTATAATTTATCGGAACATTGGGACAATGTTATATGTTATAGCTATCCTATCACGTTTCACATAGATCATATTGTCCCGAAGCTAGACTCAAATACAAATTTGTTTTGCTTATACAAATTTGTTTACAAACTGTGTTTTGTCGTTGTAATTTATATTAGTACTTCTTAAGCGTGTTTATGATTTACGCTACTTTTGCTTTTCTCATCTCATGCATCAAACTATGTTTGTGCTTCACGCAGACATCTCTATGTTTCAGATCATGTTTGTGATCCACTCAGATCTTTCTGTGCTTTCAGGTCAGATTTGTGACATACGCGGATTTCTATGCTCTGAACCATATTTTTTCATGTGGACATAATTACGTTTTCGTGTGGTATTTGTGATCCATTCAGTCCTCTGTCTATGTTTTTAGGTGTTGTTTATAATTCACATATTTATACCTCTGTCTGTGATCCACTCAAATCTCTGTCCTTTATCAAGCGGTGTTTTTGATCCACTCAAGCCTGTGTTCACAGGCGGTGTTTGTTATCCATATTCCATACACATTTCTGACCATGTTTTCAGGTGGTGTTTGTGATCTACTCATGATCCCTGTCTGTCCTCAGGTGGTGTTTGTGATCCATTCAGGATATCTGTCTGTTTTTAGGCGATAGTTGTGATCCTTACGGAGCTCTGCTTCTGTTTTCAGGTGGTGTTTGTGATCCACGTCGGTGTGCTGGTGTTTGAGCCGCTGCCGCCGCACGTGCCCGTCTGCGGTATGGTGGGTCTGCTCACCATGCTGCTGGTGATGCGCACCTTCCCCTACGTCGAGCTGCTCTCGCCCTCCTTCCTGCTAGCGTGCGGTAAGTGAGGCGTCCCCATCGCACCGCGATTGCCAACAGAAACGCTCGCTATATCACGCACACACTTGACGACGCTTTACATTTCCAGCACCCATAAACTGTTTACACCGCTCTCAAGCACGCACCAAGCAATCGACGTGCCCGCCTTACTAACTAATTAACGCTGAAGACACACACTCACACACATTTGCATCGCAACGCGCCTGGAAACCCTATGGCTTCTGATACACTCGAAGCCATTCAAATTTGTTTCATATCCTTACAACTCAAAGCCTTGTTAGCGTCACACTTACGCACTTACTTACGCACGCACTTAGTGTCACATTTACGCCATGATATCAGCTGTGAATTGTTTTCCCTGAAACTCGACGCCATCTATTCGCTTGCTTCTCACAACCACAAATCTCACAAAATGCAGACATTACACAATACACAGCATACTCCTACCCCGTAGCGTCATTAGCGATTATAAAAAGAAAGAAAAAGAAAGAATGCAGAATGAGACGAGTCCCGATTTCGCGCTCGCCATACTGTACCTTATTGCACTGCCGCGTTGCCGTCTTTCCCTGCACTCCACCACTGGTTGAGTAGATCATAAGATGATCCTTTTGCATAATATTATCCTAAAATGCTTGTTAAATGAGATATATGCGCCAGGCTCGTGGACAGAGTGCGCGTTCTATCCATCCACGAACAGCGGGAGTTTCGAGTGAACTCGTCCCTAGTCCTTGGCTGTCACCGGTCTAACCTTTACGGCAAACGGAGCGTGTAAACACAGTAGGCCCATCTCGGGGGATGGCCGTCGCGCTAGCGTGGTGTGCGCTTCCCTCCCAGAACGGCAGTGTGTCTCGACGTCTCGGAAAGCGCTGATGCGACCGGCGGGCAAACACCACGCCGGTCGGCGCACAATTTGCATACCTTAATTATGGTCGTGTGCCCGTTCTGGCCGAAAACTGTTGCGCGCCAGCTGAGATAAGCGCTCGAAGGGATGGGAAAAGTTGTGCAATGTGCCAGCTGTGCGATGCAGGAGCTGGTAGCGGTATTTGATGAGGCTATGTGCGTTGGACTAAGCCCTCTAGATAGGGCCTACATTTGTCGGCATCTGCATGCCAACCTGTCGATGTATTTCGCTTGTCGTTTTTTCCTATACCCTGCTGGGACGACCAGCTTTGTAAATTTCGGAAAAGTCAGTTCAACCTTTAAGCTTTTTTCTAGTTTGATGCATCGATCATTCAAAGGTCATGTGAACGTGACTAAAAAGATGAGATGTGCAGACCACAGTAGCTTCAGAGGCGGTCCAAGGGCTTTACGGTCATGTAGAGTGTGGGCCTTTGATGTGAAGGAAATTCTGCACTCCATAAAAAAGAGTATCAAAGAGCATGGTCTGTGTTTTTCGTTTGGTAATGCCTGTATCACGTCGAGCCGTGCCAGACCAAAGAAGAACGTGATCTTGCTTTTCTATGGCCCTCTTATCCGATCCCCGCGCGTGAGCCGAGTGTTTTATTTGCGAGAGTGCCGGCGAATCTGGTAGAAAGGTCTCGAGCTCCCCATTCATCATTCTGAAATTATGATTGCCATCGATGCCTTACAGAGCTCTTCCTCTACAAGATGCATACTCTCTCTCTCTCTCTCTCTCTCTCTCTCTCTCTCTCTCTCTCTCTCTCTCTCTCTCTCTCTCTCTCTCTCTCTCTCTCTCTCTCTCTCTCTCTCTCTCTCTCTCTCTCTCTCTCTCTCTCTCTCTCTCTCTCTCTCTCTCTCTCTCTCTCTCTCTCTCTCTCTCTCTCTCTCTCTCTCTCTCTCTCTCTCTCTCTCTCGCTCTCTCTCTCGCTCTCGCTCTCGCTCTCGCTCTCGCTCTCGCTCTCGCTCTCGCTCTCGCTCTCGCTCTCGCTCTCGCTCTCGCTCTCGCTCTCGCTCTCGCTCTCTCTCTCTCTCTCTCGCTCTCTCTCTCTCTTTTCTCTCATCCCTTCTCTCCCTTTGCTTTCGCATTTCCGTCCCTCATTCACTCTTTTTACTTGGAGCTTTGATTTTGATTCATCGCTGCTTATTATCGGCAACCGCAGTTGAGAATCATGTCAGGGTAGGTATATGCTTATTTCTGACTCACGCTGCCCATGTTTCAGTGCTGCTGGTGGTAAATCACTATCTGGCCTTCCAGCATTTCACGTCAGAATACTATCCATTCCACGAGGTGAGTAACATTTCCTTGGGGCTCGCATTATTTTAATTTGCTTTGAAGACACTATTCTAGGGAGCGTTTGTGAAATAATATAGCAATCTCCCATCATTGTTGTTGTCGTCCTACACGATTCGCCCGAATAGAGGTTTTCAGGTGCAATAATGTCCAATCGATTCAAAAATTACCCTCTTGATAATGTGTGTTTCTTCGTTCACAAACTGAGCTACGTTTGTTTATAAAAGGCATACGAAATTCCTCATTTTGAAGTTTGTTTTTAGGAAGGTGTGCTCGACCTTTAAACTATTTACCGTCATGTTTTGTGTGTGGGATCACGAACAGGGGCGTAGGCAGGGGGGGGCACTGGGCCATGGCCCCCCCCCCCCCTTGGGCGCCGAAGGCGCCCTTTGCGATTGGAGGGCGCCGAAGGCGCCGTCCAATCGCAAATGCAATTGTGATATAATCGAATCGAAAAACAATCGCGACTGGAGGGCGCCCTCCAATCGCGAATGTGTTTACAGGGAAAATACGGATGGAGGGCGCCTTCGGAGGACGCCCATTCCAAATACGCCCTCCAAATACGGTTGGAGGGCTCCCTCGGGCGCCCTCCAACCACATTTGTAGGCTGTAGCTCTCTAAGCGTAACGGTGGTCGCCTATGTAAGCCGCTGTCCCGTAAATAAGCGCCCTCTCACCCGAAGGCGCCCTCCTGTAGGTCGCCACCCTGCTACATATTGCCGCCCTTCTGCTGATCGGCGTCCTCATAATTATTGGCGCTCTCCTACCTATTGCGCCCTCATGTGAAATTTTCAAGGCCGCCTTTCTCCTTTTTGGCACCCTATTGTTCAGTGCCGCCCTCCTACCTATTGGTTCCCTAGTCCTTCCTGTTGAATGTTAATCGGGGCCCTTCTCTTATTGGCGCCCTCGTGTTGATCGCCGCCCTCCTAACCACTGGCACCCTCCTGTTGATCACCGCCCTCCTATCCACTCAGGGGCGGATCCAAGGGGGGTCACATGGGTCATGGCCCCCCCTTGAGGCCCGGGGGCCCAAAGACCTGCCAGGGGCACCACCGGCCTATCAGGGGAATCACAGTCCTGACAGGGGCACCACAGGACCGCCAGGGGCACCACAGGTCTAGCAGGGACACCACGGGCCTGGTGCCCCTGGGCCCTGACAGGACTGTAACGCCCCTGACAAGCCTGAAGTGTCCCCGGCAGGCACGTGGTGCCCCTGACAGGCCTGAGGCGCCCCTGCAAGGCCGGTGGTGCCCCTGGCAGGCCTGTGGTGTCCATGGCAGGCCTGTGGTGCCATTGCTAGGCCTCTGGTGCTCCTGACAGGCTTGTAATGCCCCTGGAAGGACTGTGGTGCCCCTGGGCCCTGACAAGCCTGAGGTGCCCCTGACAGGCCAGTGGTGCCCTTGATAGGCCTGTGGTGCCCCTGGCAGGCCTCTGGTGCCCCTGACAGGCTTGCGGTGCCCTTGGAAGGACTGTGGTGTCCCTGGGCCCTGACAAGCCTGAGGTGCCCCTGACAGGCCCGTGGTGCCCTTGTTAGGCCTGTGGTGCCCCTGGCAGGCCTCTGGTGCCCTTGCTAGGCCGCTGGTACCCCTGCGCCCGGAGAGGACTGGTGCCCCTGAAAAGTCTGAAGTGCCCCTCGGCAGGCCCGTGGTGCCCCTGACAGGCCCAAGGTGCCCCTGCGAGGCCGGTGGTGCCCCTGGCAGACCTCTGGTGCCTCTGGCAGGTCTGTGGTGCCCCTGGCAGGTCTGTGGCGCCCCTGGCAGACCTGTGTTGACTGGTGCCCCTGCTAGGTCGCTGGTGCCCCTCACAGACCTGTGGTGCCCCTGGGCCTTGACAAGCCTGAGATGCCTGGCTATGACAGGCTCGTGGTGCCCCTGATAGACCAGTGGTGCCCTTGCTGCTAGGCCTGTAGTGCCCCTGGCAGGCCTCTGGTGCCCCTGCTACCCCTGCGCCCGGAGAGGACTATGGTGCCCCTGAAAAGCCTGAAGTGCCTCTCGACAGGCCCGTGGTGCCCCTGGGCCCTGACAGGCCCCTGCGAGGTCGGTGGTGCTTCTGGCAGGCCTCTGGTGCCCCTGGCAGGTCTGTGGTGCCCCTGGCAGGCCTGTGTTGACTGGTGCCCCTGCTAGGCCGCTGGTGCCCCTCACAGGCCTGCGGTGCCCCTGGAAGGACTGTGGTGCCCCTGCCCCTAGGGGTGCTCATGGGCCCAACAGGCCCGTTGTGCCCCTGACAGGCCTGTCGTGTATACTTGCTAGACCTGTGGTGCCCCTGCTTCCTGGCAGGCCTGTGGTGCCCCTGGCGGGCCTGTGGCGCCCCTACAAGGCCGTAGGTGCCCCTGACAGGTTTGTGGTGTCCCTGGAAGGACTTTGGTGCCCCTGACAAGCCTGAAGTGTCAAGGACAGACCCTTTAGACGCCAGGGTCAAGTTCGTCGGACTGACAACGATTTGCTTACCTGATAACGTTCCTGGTAAGTACTCACTACTCAGCGTCCACAACATATATACACATAGCACATTCATATATACTTGCTTACAATTGGTAAATGTGGTTGTGGCTAAGAGTTAAGATACTGACTAAAAATAAAAAATAAAAAAAACTGAAAATGGGGGCACCACCAAAACGAAGTGGACGAAATCCGTTGAGTTTTTAATTTTGGGTATAGGTAGGGGCACCACTTCGATTCATGACCCTCCCCTTGGAGTTTTCCTGGATCCGCCCCTGTATCCACTGGTACCTTCCTGTTGACCAGCGCCCTCCGCACAGACGCCCTCCTGTTCGTGTCATCCTCTTGAGCAAAGGCGCCCTCCTCACCATTGCCACCCCCATTTTAATCGTCACCCTTCCGCTCATTAACGACTCCCAGTTGATGACCGCCCTCCCACCTATTGGCGACCTCTTGTTGATCGCCACCCTCCTATTGGTGCTCTCCTGTTCCTCGCCACCCTCTTACCTGGTGGCGCCCTCCTGTTGATTGTTGATCGGGGCCCTCCTACCTATTGGTGCCCTCCTGTTGATCGCTGCCCTTCTATCCATTGGCGCCCTCCTGCTGCTCGCCAACTTCCTACCTATCGGTGCCCTACTATCGAAACTCGGGATGTTGATCGGGGCTCTCCTACCTATTAGCGCCCTCCTGTGGATCGCAGCCCTTCTACCTATTGGCAACATCCGTTGATCGCTGCCCTCTTATCATTTATTTACTCCTTTGGCATGTTTTTCAACTTAGTCGTTCTATTGCACATAGTTGATGTCTTGCCTGTGAAAACTGCCACAAATGAACGTGCATTCAGCACAATGAATGAAGTACCTATACCTACCAAAACTATCTACGCTCTACGATGCATAAAACACGTCTTTGGTCTTAACGGATTGATCCTACTTTACGTGCATCATGGCATCTATATGGATTACGATTAAGTATTGTCAACAGGTTCGGCCGCAACAGCAGGCATCTGAAGTTTCGGTGATTGAAACTGGTTATGTGGGTACACTGTATGCATCTGTGAGAAGGCTATGAAGGCTGGTCTGAGGTAATTTGGATGATGTTTACGCATCTCGCGCTCCGGTATCAATCCGATACGGTGATCTGGTGCGTACTGCGTAGATATGCCACCGCCAATAAACTTTTATACATCGACACCCATGAGCCAAGCTTTCTATACAGTTTGTGTGGCAGCGGCCCGACCAAACCTTAGGTATTTTTTACACCTTCAAATTTGGTAAAAGAGCGAGAGGAGCTTTGAACGGTGATCGTATAAAAGGCGTGCCTAAAAAGCGGAGGAAAAGGTTGTTTTCAAAAATTTCGCGCGCCTTCGGCGCAGCATTTCAAGAACACTTGACCTTTTGTGACCTGGAGTATAAAGAATACACACGATGCAAAATCAATGCAGCACGACCTATACGAGGTTACGCAAAAAAAAAAAAAACTGGTGGCATGGTAAAAAACGCCTCCCAACCCCCCCCCCCCCACCCCGCTGAGCGATTTTTTATCTCGCGACCGTATGGCGCCCTCCTTGGGTGAGGTGGCGCCCTCCAAACCCTTGCCCCCCCCCTTCGCGATTTTCTAAATACGCCGCTGATCACGAATCAGACCAAATCTAATTCGTCACATAGTGTCCTAAGCTAGCAGGGTTAGTTTGCACGTAAAATAAAATAATATTACGCTTGATGCCTATGTGTAAACAGAACGCATATAAACTACATCATGGTTGTTTTGCGAGAACAAATGTGGTCGTATGCTGGGTGCTTTGCTGGGTGTATAAATATGGTGCTGCTGCTCTAGTCCTTCCTGGCTGCCCCAGTTACCCCGCACGGTGCAGTCTGCGGCGGCCCGACCGTATATGTTTGTCGCCCCCGAGTGTTTCCGTCCGTGCCCGCTCGTCGCCACAAATGACCGCTTAGCCTGAGAAGCTGGCGGGCGCTGGCCATTCCTTTCCGGGTCAAATAAACAGGTCGCCAGTGAACGTGACCTTCCCCTCCCCCTGGGAACTACCTCCCGTGGAGCGGCGCGGCGCGTTCCGGCGGTCACCGGTCGGGCGGGGACAATTCTTTTCAGCCTTTGTCGGCTGATCCTGTTGTTTTCCAGTTTAGCTAAGCCACTCGGTTTGCATTGTTGGAGCGGTGTTCTCGCAGACAATTGGACGGGCACGGTTGGGATTGCAGAGCAGCCCTGCTTTGTTCTCGGCGAGACTGTTGCTCAGCGTGCTCGGCAGAAACCGGAGACGGAAGGAGTGACTTTGTCAGCGCTGAATCAGCCTACTGTTGACTCGGCATGCTATCGTTAGTAGTGAACTAGTTAATTAAGTAATTAGTTAAATTGTTGATTTTGAAAATCATGTGTTTGTAAAATTTGAAAGGAAATATACATTATGCAGCGTGCATTACACTCGTTAGCTAATTATACGTAGTTACATAAGCTAGCTAAATATTATATGACCGCTTCAGCAGTACGGCATGCCGCTCATTCTGCCGCAATGGTCAACGATCATTGTTTTACATCAGTATATAAATAGGTATATTAGGTGTCGAGTAAGCACATGTAGATGCGTTCTGACGACTTAGCTGTAGAACAAACGCCCACCTTGATAAGTGCTTCTTGCGGCAGCGATGAATTGTCATCTTGTCTCGCACCGATTACTCTGAAGCTGCCTTTTCGCCTCCATCTCCGTGTGGTGGTTTCCGTCGAGACGTTTCCACCTGACTGCGACTGCCGGGTCTTTGGTGCATGAAGCGGACTATTTCGAGCCCACTTATTGGCTTCTGCCGACGCACCAGCTAGCTTTGCGGAGGACGCACTAGCTAGCCTTGCGGAGGAAATGACGCCTGTCTGTTGTCGCATCACTGAATATCATTGCACAGATATTTGACGCTAGTTTGAGCTGCAACGTGTCAGACCGTCTGCCGAGCAACGTGATCCGTCTGGCTTCTGGTAAGCGATCTTGCACTGTCGTTAGCTTTGGTCGAGCAATTGATGCGACTCCGACGATGGCATGTGTGCTTGCTTCTTGGACGAGTCCAGAAGGTTGGAATAAGGTTATCGGTGTTTCGCCTCACCGAAACGAGCTTCACACTGATGTGCGTTGGAAAGATTAAAATTTGAGAGCGCTGATGCTGGTTTAAGATTTGCCGAAGGATGTGTGATTGGGCTGACTGATCTCAGTTTTTACGGTATAAACCATTTTGTAAGATTCCTTTTTAGGGCATCAGCAGTTTAAGGCTACAGATGTTTGGCTGTGTTTGTGATTTTGTAGTATTTTCTTAATCGAATGTCAAATGTAAAAATCCTTAAAAGTTAGCTTTTTCGGAATAGAGTCGCAACAGGACCTCGATGGCTCAGCACACCGCTTGGGAGCATCCGTTGATCGTTCATAGATGCGTCGCCTAGCTGTTCTGTCGAAGCGCAGTGATACAGCGATATTGGACCCTTACCAGTGATGCGACTTAGAAAAAACTGCAACGTTGCATCGTTTTGCAACAGCTCGCCAAGGCATTACCACAAGCCGTTTTTCCCATTTCTACAACTACCGGCCCATCCCAGACTCACCATGCCTGCCATTACGTGTGCCGCTGCCGCCATTACCTGGGTCGTGTCGCTCCCGCCGCGGCCTTTCTGTGTCCCCCGCGTCCGACTGGCGACATAACCTCACGTGCGGCTCCAACTGGTGCCGCTGAGTCCGCGGGCGCCGGCGACCCGGTTGAACTCGGGCCACGGACGTCAGTTCCGGGCCGGCGGCAAACATCAGCGGTCCCCGGCCGGGAAGACGGCGGAGCGGCCGGAGACCTTCATCACCCGCGCGCCCCGGGAGGACGGCGGAGTGGCCGGAGACTTTCTGCACCCGCGCGCCCCGGGAGGACGGCGGACCGGCCGGAGACTTGGTGCACCCGCGCGCCCCGGGAGGACGGCGGAGCGGCCGGAGACTTTCTGCACCCGCGCGCCCTGGCCGGAGAGTTCTGCACCCGCGCGCCCCGGGAGGACGGCGGACCGGCCGGAGACTCTCTGCACCCGCGGTCCCTGGCCGGAGACTTTGTACACCCGCGCGCCCCGGGGGACGGCGGACCGGCCGGAGACTTCACCCACTGCGCGCCCCGGGAGGACGGCCTGCGCGCGGTGTGCCTGCCCAGACCGTAGTGCTGCCCGAGATGGAGCGATATTCTCAGAATGGTGCCAGGATTTGTGTGGCCTGTGACTAAGTAGATGTGTTGTTGTTTTCTGTGGTCTCCTGATTCGTTTGTCATGGTTTACCGTGCGTTGTGAACCATCGGTTTCGTCCAAATTTAAGCTCCGACTGATTAGGGCTTTTGATGGCTGCATTATATTAATTTTTATCTTCATGGATTTTTTTTTTTGCATTTCATTTTGTTTTATATCCATCTCAAATCCCAATCGCTCACATTTTCAAAAATATTTATCCAGGTCACATCCTTCCTCATCTCACGCTACTCATGGACAATTAATCTCAATCCGTATCCTCGACTGACTCGATGCATACCGGGTTTTCATTACCGACTGGTGACTGAGCAATGATCCGTCTCGCTGACTCAATGTGCGCCTCTCGCCAGGTCATCGGCTACTTCGTGGTGTGTCTGTGGTTGGTGCCACTGGAGCTGCTCGTTTCCCTGTCGGCAAACGAGAACGTACTCCCCACGATGGCCGACAACAGCTTACATCGGCGAGGTGAGTTAATGGAAGGGGTAAGATCTTACAGTACACTCGCACAGGCGTTGTAAGTGAGAAAGGGATATAGACCGAACATACCATTTTTGTCTGGTATTTATGGTTGAGTAGTGTTTTGAATAAGTTGACTTGCATTCAGAGGCCTCCATATACATAATTCGCCTACTTTGACGATATGAATATGTTATCTCCAAACGAGCGAATCGAACAGCTGGATTCGCTTCAGATATTAGCCTTATCTGCATGACGACTCGTAAAAAGGCGGCCAGGCTCTGTGATCATCTCCCATGGGGACAATGGTCCGGTCTCATCACCATGACGCGCTGGCCGCATGGGTGGAAATGAATTCGGACATTTTCCGGCCTGCTAGGGAACGAGATAACTGGCTTACGAAACAGTACAGACATTGCTACGTGCTTCAGAGCTTCTTCGTGTTATATAGCTCTTTTCGCTGTTCTGGTAAGTCATATAGTAATTCTCTTCGTGATCAAAATTCTAAAAGTTGAAATCGACTTTTTGAAGCCCGAATAATCCGCCCTGATATACTGAATTTTAGCCAATGCGAAATTTTATAGAAAGGTGCTGATCATTTTTGTAATCAATATTTCTTATCATATTAGCATGTTTTTTTTCATTGGCATACATTTTTGGTCTTCTTACCTTGGTGAAGGTTTTTCCACAGTGTTATCAGTTATATTACTGTTAAAAATATTTGATATATTTTCCCGCCTTGCTCCCTGGCTCTGGGCCTTATCTGTACCAACAACCCGATATTTTAGCATCAATGATGCCTGGCGGGTACTTTTCCGACCGATTCGGTGTATTACCCATATAATTCACAGGGATATATGGATGTTGGTCATAGCTGAATATGACGTGGACCACATCTCATCTTGTGAATAGCCATGATCTAAAGTGTGCAACCCATAGAGATCATAAAAACCTAGATATCTATTTTGTAATCGTATTGGCTTATGTGGTCATCGTTAATGTGCAGTGTCAATAAGTTGACTCCGATTTCCTGTAGAAATGTTTCGTTTAGACTCAACCGGATATGGTATGGATCTTTATGTTTTTTTTTCACCGTTTATTTGGAGTGAATATGACATAACAATTCCCGCTGTATTATTTGGTAAGCAGTTACTGTTTCGCCTTCAAAAATTCATTTCGCATCATTTGTATCACGTAAACTACATGCGGCCACACAGTTGTTTGCACCACCACTCTGAGCTGCGACTCCAATTTTCCGCCCTGGTGGCCCAGCATCGCCGGAGCATCCGTCACCTCGGCCGAGAGGATGTTCTCGATATGCCCATTGCCATGCTGTATGTGGTGGAGCTGTCCGTTCAGCTACCGTGTCGTGTTGGTTTCGCGACGAGACAGTGGCGACGAGTTCACTCGCACGACCAAGTTCGGCAGGCTCAGGACTCAGGAGTTTGTGTGGACTTTAATGGTGTTATTTCGATCGGTTAGTTGTGGGTCTCGGAAATACGTGGTAGTCATTATACAGGGTGTCCCAAAAATAATGTCACACCTTTCCAGCGTTAATTGCATGAAAATAACAAACATGAGCGGTTCGCTTTTCTTACATATGTATCCCACATTCTCCCTGATACGGGTAAGCATACGGTCCGGGACAATGATTTCCTTCTCCACATCAGACATCAACATGTTCAGTTTCTGTGGACTGATCTTGGACCAGACAGGTCGAACGTTCCTGGTCAGCGTGCCTTCAGATTATCCTGGTGCCATTTTGTTCACCTCTTACCGGACGATCGCCGTAAGATTTTCTTTCGGCGACAGGTCGAGGATATTTCCCGGTCATTTGTCCTTCTCCTTGAATGCTGGGAAGCTCGATCTGCACCAGTCCTGCGTCATTCTAGCTCGATGAGCCGGGGCGCCGACCTGTTGAAAGATGACCCTGGACATGTTCAGCAGAAGTTTTCGGTTGGAGATATGGCTTGGTGGGCTTCAGCTTAAGAGACAACCTCCAGTACCGACGAATTGTCGACTTGGAGACTGGATGACCGTTGGCAGTCAGCATCCTTGCCAGTTTCCTTGTGGACTTGTGGAGTCTTTAGCTCTGCACTTCGCGATGACGATCTGCGCTACCCGGCTGGCGGAAGTCTTCCTGCCGTGACCTAGCTGGTTCTCAGGCGCGCCTGAAGAAGCGGATAGACGCGTCTCTCCGCTTCTGTCGCGTGACAACCAGCGCCAAATCGTACGGCAACTAATGCCCAGTGCCTCGGCGACCTGGCCGTGGGTCATGCCGCCGGCAACTATGCCGACTGCCCCGCTGCGGGACGTTTTGCTCTACAGTTCTGCCATCCTGGACACCTGGTCCGCGCGCGCTGGGTACTGCCCCGGAAATGACCTCCGTACTCCCCTTGACCGGTTAGGATCACACAAATTTGAAGGTCACGTGACTAGAATGTAGCCAATATGGTCTAGGAGCCAGTGCTGGCGAAATTGTGTTAATATTGCGCCGTAGAAGGCAAAATAAAGGATATGGGAGGGTGTGACATTAATTTTGGGTCACCCTGTATTACATTATTTCATTTTCGTTTGTAGCTGCTTAGCTGGTTTAGGTTTCGTTTGATGGTTGTTTTTCTGTTCTTCAGCAGGTGGGATTCTTACCACTTGCCGGTAGTAAAATTGCCGTTGAGCTTATTACTAGCGGGCGTTCCAGGTGTACTTCTAATTGGAGACAAACATGTTTTGCCGGACGCATGGTGTCATATTGGAGTGCATTAATGCCAGGCGTGGCTGGACTTCACTCAAAGTATTATTGGGCTAGAAAATAGCCTGTCAAAAGTCACCTCGATCTGCCGCGCTGGCTGACACCTGGTATCGCTGTTGTCCTGCCGGTGACGGTGTGAAGTGGAGACTGTTTACCGGCCGCCGGCTGACACCTCCGCTATCCTCTGCCCCCAACTTTTCACGTGATGTAACCTTTGTCAGACTGCGGGCGGCCGGCCTGACTTCCCGGCTGTCTAGGTCGCCGTCTGGGTGGAAGCGAACGGTGCTTTTAACGACCCGTCTCGCCGACCCGACGGTGGTAAAACTACCAAGGGCGTAGCGGTACTGCTCTGTGCTCGCCCAGGAAGAGGGGTATGCGATCGACCTCCGTGGTGGTATTGATAGCGATAGGACACTGGAAGATTGGATCGTGGAGTTTAGAAAAAGGGACAAGTGCAGTGGGTTGCGGTTTTTGTCAGGTCCGACTTGTTTGTGGTGGAGTTGAAATATTTCGGTATGATTCAAGTGAATCTTGCTGTGGCTAATTCATTTTCCTTATGCTTATGTCATTGCATATTTGTTTTTTCCGCATTTCATTGAAATGTCAAAACATGAAGCGAGCTTTTCTTGTCAACCTCAATCCCAAATCCAGTCCGATTCAAGCAATGTGGTGCCACTCTGCTGGCTGGAACTTGCCCCACGATAATCTCGTCGCTAGATGGCAGCAGCAATGTGCGCCGTGGAAGGTATGCTGTGCCGCCGTACACCGTGCCCGTATGCTGCCGATAACACGGCGATATGGACGGGCATCGAAGCTAGCTGACAATGGATTTATTACAGCATTTGGCGTTGGATATAACAATGCAATTGCAGGACGGTTTTAATAATTGATGATAAACCGCATCGCGCTTTGTTGTGGCTCTATGGACAAACCGAGGCAATTACAGGAAGAGCCCAGCATTAATTAGTTGAACGAGACCGTCGATTTCAATAGCGCATTGTATACCGGCTAAGGGCTGATGACATGTAACATTTCCTTATACATATTGATACACGTTGGTTGATGCATTTGTCAGTAACCCTCGTCATCACATGCGTCAAGCTGTGTCCCTGCTCACCGCTCGCTGGTTACGTACTCACTGGGTTATGCACGCGGTGGCTGCGTGGCAGATCGTATGTCTCCCAACTTGAAAGTCTGACGTCTCCAAGGAGCACCCTAACTTCTCTCTCATCTATGCGAACACCGCCCCTCCCCCACACACACGCGCGTAACTTGATGTAAAACTCATTGACCTCGCTCAACTTGGAGCAGATGATAAAAATTGCAGGCTGTCCTGCGTTTCGGGATGTACTGAGCGTCTCAGACTGTCATGCGGCGCCGTCTCGGAAGCCGTACGGCCATGAGCTCACACGGCGCCGGCGGCAGTGAGCATGAACTTTGCGGACCGGTTCTTCCGCATTCTGTGCGGGCGCTCTCGGGGGAGTGCTGCCGGTGGGCAGCTCGACGTAACCGAGTCGGCTGTCGGCGCGGCTGAGAGCGCTCCCGCGCCGGCCGGCCGCCGAGAGCAGAGCGGAACTGGCGGCGGCGTCCGGTTGCATCCGGTGGGGAGCGCTGGCCGGCCGGACGCGCCGGCTGCGTACCCGATCAATCGACTCAGAGTGGCGGCGTCACACTCTATTGACCGCGCGCCGGCCGGCCGCCGCGCCGGTGGCAGCCGTTCGTGACGGCCGCACACGGGCCGTGGCGTGCCGCCGGCGAGTTCGCTGCAGTGGGGAGGGGCGGGGCGGTGTTCATTACCGGGGCCATGTGCAACACAACCGGAACACTGCCGGTACACGGCGACTCCGGCGGGCACAGCAGGCTACTCAGTGGGGGCTCAGCCGACGCGGGGCTAAAACGGAATACGAGTGGTGTTCTAGATGTAATGAAAGCGCCAGAATACTTGAGTTGGTTTGTTCGCTGCACCTGAAGACTGAATCATAAGTTACCTGAAACGTATAGTGTTAACATTTTCGGGTCTCGTTCGCTGTTTAGCCCGCGAGCTGAAAGCATTTAAAACATTGATTTTTAGTTCAAGAAATTGTTCCCACAAAGTTTTGAATGCTGTAACATTTTAGCTGCAAATTGCAATCAATGTAAAAATAACACAGCAAGCCAGCTGCGTTATACCATACGGTAGACCAGTTACTCGCTCGTATGTCGTTTAACATTTGTTGCGCTTGGGACCATAAATAATCCCGGACTTAAGTTCGCGTACGATGTCTATGGCTCGTATAGGCGTGTCATGTCCATATATAAATAACACTTCGCCACATTAGCGTCCGCTGTATCGTCGTATTGTCGTTTTTAATGACAATGCATGTCGCGGACATTGATTCATGAGGCTTTAAAACTGACTGTCGAATGTTTTACGACTCCCTCCTTAGGGATATTTTGATGGCGATGGAAAACAATAGCCTTTCGTTACGTCCTGAAAGTTTTTTTATAATGCAACCATGAATTACAGCCGATAAGTTTGCGCTGTTACTTCCGAGGTCATTACTTAAAAGCCAGGAAGCAAAAGATTGTGATGATTTAAAACCTTTAAAACACCTCAAGTGTGTGCTGTTATCGGTGTAACGTTGGCGAGAATCGACATAAAGCGAGCATGCACCAGAAGTACTGCCAATAGTGTTTCGCGAAGAGCTCGTATAACTACGGATATTCTCTGATGTTTCAGATGACGACGTTCTCAGCAATTACTTCTCGAGGAAGGGTAAGAAGAAAGGACTTCTGAGTTTGTTCAGCTATGCCAAAGAAGGTCTCCTTCCCGTGCGGAACAAGAAGTCCTACTGACGCGTGGTCTCCTGCAGCGTGTGGAGCCGCGTACCCTTCAGAATGTGACCTGGACCCACTCAGGTCAGTCCGTGTCCGCGTCACCGAGGCGTTCACCCTCGGCGCTGGCTCAGACAGAGACTGAACTTGTTACTCAGCCCGGGGAAGGCCGCAGTGGCTGGCTGGTCCCATCCGCTCCGCTCCTACCTTCGGCCGCTCAGAGGATGTGTTGGAGGGCTTGTTCGGCAGCTGGACGCCCTGTGTATCGCGAACGCCCTTCCAGTGCCACCCTGCACTGACATGAGGTGCGGTCGCTGTGTTGGGGGCGTGGGATCCGCGGTGATCGGCCATGTATTCGACTGCTGTGCGATGCTCCATGGTCCAGTTGACTCGTGTGATACGTACGGGGCGGACAGGCGCTCTCCGTAACGGTGTTTTATATCGATGCTGTGCCTACGTTTGTGGGTGAGAGAGGCGGCTCTCAGGACAACGTGGTGGAGCTGTTAGCCTGGGTGGCTCCGCTCACATGCCAACTGATATCAGCCTTGTGTTTTACCGCCTGTAAGTGATCAGTCCGTGTATGTACCAGCGTTCAGCAGTGAGTTACTGTTTTCCCACTGGTTGGCTATACTGCCGTCAGTCATAACTCTACGGCGGTTGCCAGCCGTCGCAGCTCCCCCTCTCGACCCCCCGCGGTCAGGTAGCGGTCTGCCTTCGATTTCTCCGTCGGTGGGCTGTCGGAATCGACGGCGGGTCGTCGGAATCGACGGGGTTCTCCCCGGGGTGCCGCTGCCGCCGCCGTCAGCGTGACAGACGCGCGGCGACGCCGGTGGGGAGTGAGGTCAGGTTTTGCCACCACAGGCCCACTCGATGTGCGTGGACCCGACGGGCCGCTGTCGGTATTCGTTCCCGTGTTCAAATGAACGCAAGTGATGGTATTTAAACAATGCGTGGTGTGTGTGGTGATTGTGGTGAGACGGGCAGGTTTTGAGATGCATTACGTGATTTTGGGAGCGCCTTCGCTCCGGTTTGTTGTTGCTCTGGGGTGTTTTAAGAAGCTGGGTATTTCAATAAATCTGCCTGGCAGCCCACGTTTTTGTCGTATTTTTAAGTTGTTTGGTTGGCCGCGTTCGGAAATCAATGTGAGTCAGATGGCACCGGGCAGTGGAATGGATTTGGTCGGTGGAAGAATCGATGTGAAATGGACGCACCGAGATTCGAACTCCAAAGGCTTTATAGGTAAGTTGGTATGACAGTGTGCGTTCTCACGGAGAGGCGCGCCTGACATCGCTAGTGAGCTCATGTTCAGTTGTATCTATGCTTGTCTAATGTCTAACGAGAAACATCAGTAGCGAAACAGATGCTAAGAAGTAAGAACGTCTTTGTTGTTTGCTTGAGGGCTTACAAATTTGAATCTCGGAGCAAATAATATTTTTGCACCTCCTTACTATTTACTCTTGTTTCAAGTTATCGAGTGAAAGCCAGCACCCGTTCCCCCATCCTCCCAGTCGCAGGTCACTCCACACTCCACACACCACCAGAGATACGTCCCACACTACCCCAACCGTCGCACTGCGGCGCGGCGCCGGGTCGGTCGCTCGCGGCGCCGACCCAGCCGCCCCGCTGCCTGAGCCGTCACCGCTGGGGCTCTGCAGCGCCCGGTCGGCCTTTTACCGGTCCGTCGGCAATCGGATGAACGTCGCTGCGCCTCGTCTCGCGTCTGCTGGCCGGACGAGAGGACAGACAGGGCGACCACTGAGCCGGATACAGCCGGCTTCCGGGCCAGTGACGCGGCACGACCTGCCAAAACAGAACCGGGGGAGGGTCAGGGTCGCGCTGGTCGGGTATGACGCCGTCCAGAGGTGTTGTGATGGGAAGTGGGGAAAGTCTTAGATCGTGGGGGAAGGCCGTGTGACAGTGGTGCCTGGTGTTAGATAGGAATGCATTCCTATCCAAACCATTCGAATGGTTTGATGCTCCGTGTGGATTATACATTTTCCTTGCGGATTATACCTAATTAGGTACATTAATCAGGCCATTTATTTTTGGAGTTTTTTTTTTTTTTTTGTTCTCCCAATTTTGTACCTATTACTTATTATCCCTCCCTTTTGGATGAAATTGGTAAAATACCAAAGGCCTACGACTATCCAAGCCCAGTAGAATAATGTTATACACTATTCTATTATAACTACACTATTCAGTAGAATACTGTGCCTAGAATCTGTTTCATAACATCAATCACCGAGCTGACAAGGCAGCAGCCTCTGAGATTGGCTCTGTACGTCACAGCAAGTCAAAATATTTAATGGATCGTTAATGAATGCTGATGCTATAGACGCACAATTACTAGCAATAAACAACGTTTTTATTTTTTTTCATGTGCACATTCATGTCGCCTAATGTGTTCTCTTACATTGACGTCATTGACTAGTGACTAGTGACAATAGACTTCAGTCGGACGAATTCACAGAAGTTTTACGCAGATCTTCATTTGCATATGTCTTTTTGTTAGCTTGGTGTGCTGCTGATTATTTTCGTCTTTCTTGAGGTTATTCTATTGTCGTCCGGGTAATAAAAGGATGGCGATTTAATCTGCAATTCTCAATGTCCGCTCACCTCTCAATATCATACATGTGTGTACTTTAGCGTTAATGCTAAAATCAGGACCATGCCGTGAGCATTTCTGGAGTTCACCTTTGCCCAAAGGAGGCATTAATTACCATTGTACGCGTATCGTCTGCACCTTCCTCGGCCGCCTGCGCGACAACATAAAAGTAATTGGATATCTCAGAGGAAACGACTCAAAGAGAGTCCCAGCGCAACAACAAAGCTGCGCGCCGCTCCCGGCCGGCTCGTTTCCGTGTCGAGCTGTGTCGCCGACAAAGCACACCGGGGTCATTTCAAAAGCCGCCGTCGTCGCGCGCGGGATCAGCGGGGAGGAAGCTCCTTGTGTCGCCAAGCGCTGTGCGTTGTTTTCTCTTGGTGTGTTTGTTTCGTCGGCGGGTTTTATCCGGCCGCTGCTTCAGTCGGTCCGGGGGAGGGTTTGTAATAGGGACGTGCCTACCTTCAGACACGGGAATGACCCATTTCTGGCCTGTGCCGGATGTTATTAGAGCAGAATGTTGTCATTGTTTCTATCAACTGTCCGTTGATGATTAAGGTCGCTGATGGACGGATGTTAGAGCGCTTTGCAACTAGCACATCGGGAATCCCCAGTCAGGTCCAAGTATGTGTTGCAATGTGTCGTGAAGCATCCGTTGTATAGTGGATAGATATTCCATGCGGTGCGATCTACCCCATAAAACCATTATCTATGGCGCGCTGTATTCGGTATCTTGGGACTCAAGCAGCTGCGTTCTTGTGTTTGCTAGAAGTGATGTTTTATCTTGTTATTGTTGTTGTTGTTTGTTGCGTTCTGCCACCCCTCCCCCACTACCACCACCGCCAAGTAAAGCTCGGGCTTATCTCGGGTGTAACCAGTGTTGATCCAGCCCTGTTTTTTCTTTTATCTTCTGTTTGACTTGAGGCTGTTTTGCGAAGTTTGAGCCAAGTGCTAAATGACGCTTTTTGTACAAGTCTGGCCTAACAAAGCACGGTGGGAAACACCCTTCTTGACTTTGTGCAGGTGTCAGAGGTGATAAAGAAGAACGAAGCCACATATTTTGTTGCGTGTTTCGCTGCTCCCTGTACTACGTATGCGTGGACCAGCACTATCACACAGTTGGGAGGTGAAACCTGCCGCTACGCTGGTGGCCAGATTCTCTACATACTTCCCAGATGAATGGGGTTTTGAGAATAATTGGAGCAGTAGACATGCATCCACTAGCAGGATTAACGCCTTTATCCTTGCGAGAGGTTTAATTGCTATATACCGTGGCGGCGTCTACGAGTTTTGCAATGTATGTAAACTGTAAAAACATGGGAAAATACTTCTTACAATTACTTGTACTAAATACTAAGAATACTAAGGGTTCATTATGTGAGATGAACCCTTAGTTAGGGTTCATTATGATGAGATGAGTCCCAGCGGATAAAAACAACACCTAAGTAAGAGTTCATTACCAGATGTTTGTTCCTTACGGAGCACCGATGTCCGATGCCATGAGATGTTTGTCGATTAGTTGGCTTACTGCGCCGCAACACACGAATGTCATGCGGTGCAGTCTACCCAGAAAGGAGATACATTCGAGAGGACTGAGACCCATTCCGGAAAGGCGTTCATTTCTTTTTTCTTACCGCCAACTGAGCGTGCAGTAGATGAAAATGCGATTTCCCACATTCGATACAGTCTTGATGCTTTAACTTTTATGTTAATGAATTGTATGATCATTGATCATTAATTTGAAGTTTTTTTATGTTCAGTTTTAATACCGTCGATTTTCTATCTTACTTTCCGCAACAACAAAAACACAGGTGTCCATAGTGTTCACCCCACGACCCACAGTGTTTCAGGTTCGAAACGAATGATGTCGGTGTACATACATAGATACTGATGCACTGGAATCTGGAATCTGGCTAACTTCTGATTGGTGGAGCGATGTATCATTCAGCGTGAAGAGTGACCTTCTGCGGTGTTGCGCAAAGCGGGACAACGTGTGAGGTTTATGCATCAGATGAATCTGGCATTCTGTCGACGGCAGAGGTTCACTGAAGAGGTCACTGCATGATGTAAAAGTGGTGTCACCATTCAACAGACCTTTGGTTGGGACTACCAAACAGCTGAATATTATCTAGCTTTGGAAACTTTCGATGTTGTGAGCAGGGGCTCCGCCACGGTTTCAGGATTGGGGCGTCCAACCCAAAAATGAACACCCTTATACATAAGGCTGCATTACGAAAGTAAACCTATTGGGCGTCCGGACCAATGCGACCCCCCCCCCCCCCCGTTGGTGGAGCCCCTGATTGTGGATAAAAAACCTGCAATGGAGTACCACGCCTGTAAGCAGGACAGCTTAGCATTTGAATGTCTACGGTGTCAGAAAGCGTGTGTTACAGTTGAAAATACGAGGGGGTATCGAAAAGTTCTGATCATCACCATGAATTAGATGTGATAGAAATTTGATTTTTTTACATGATGTTCATTACTTCTTCACAAGTCACCACACACGACCGCAAACTTATTGCATCGTTTCTTGAACTGCCTCAGGCGGTCATTGTAGAACCTTCGCACTGTCCCGTAAATCAGTGCTTCACCTCATCAATGACGTCATTTCTGTCCTTCAATCACCGGCCATACTGTGGATTTTTCATCTCCCGTAACAATCAAGAGTCAGTTAATACCCGGTCAGGTGAATTTGTTAGATACGGTAGGATTTAATGTCCACATCATGTTGTTTCTTCAATCGCAGCTCAGGACGAATGGGTGGGGGCACTGTCTGTGAGGATAAAACATCTTTCTTGGGCTTCTTTGCGGCGATTCTGCTTGAGGCCATCTCGCAATTTCTTCAAAAGTGTGCAGTAGCGCATGCTTATCATTATCCGACCATTATCAAGACAGTCGGTAATGACTATCCTACGCCAGATCCAGAACACTGAGAGCATTGACTTTCCATATCGGCTTCTGCATCTTCGCCTTTTAAGAAGGGCATATGTGCCGTGCTTAAACGTCTAGATCATCGTTTTGTCTCTGAATCATACACATAGACCCAGCATTCGTCACAAGTCATCAAATGATCAAAGATGTCTTCAATTTCCTAAAAAAGGCCTAGTTTTCGTTTCGAAAGGCCAAGACGAATTTTTCTCTGGAACAAAGTAGACACACGAACTTCTAAGCGGGCTGACTCCTTTATCGTCTGTAGTTCTTCGCTGATAATATTTTCAGACACTGCCAGCATTGAGACCTTTCTGTTGCACAATCATCTGAAAGGCCACACGACGATCTGTAAGGATGAGGTCCTCCACTTCCTTCACAGTCACCACCTTGTCAATCACTGGTAGTCACTCACTTCTTGACTCCCTTGCAAAGGCCATGCAACCAAGTTGAAAATTATTTCTTCATTTTCGGTAAGTGCATGAGATGGGCTTTCTTCGCCATAAGCTAAGTTCACGTTCTTGATGTATTTTATCAGTGTGATACCGTTTCAAATGCATTAGTTGGATGACGGTTCGGTCCTCAGTGGGCCCAATGCTCATCTTTTTTACTTCTAAGTCTCTCCTACATAAGATAAAACCACGTCTCAGGATTTTCTTTGCGGGAACATTGTTCTTGAGAACCAAATATAATGCCTACCAAAAATCATCAAAATCGGTCTATATCTTCTATGTGATGATCAGAACTTTTCGATACCCCCTCGTATGTCATAAGTATATCAGTATGTGCCTATATCACTTCATTTGTGGAACCTTCACCACTGCGCCAGATAAACGGCGGCAATGCAGCCAAAGTCAGCAAGTCAGCGTCGTCACCCGATCAGGTCACCAGGTCATCTGATAAGGTCGGGTTTCTCGCGGGGCGCCGTGCCGCTCGGTGTCGACCTGCGCGGTCATTGATTGAGTCGGCTCGACGGCGGCGGCGGCGGTGGCGGGATCGTCGGCGTCGGCGGCCTCCTCCCGGCAGTCACCTGCCGTGGCTGGCCGCGCGAGGTGTGTAGCTGTGTGAGAGACGACGGACCCGCACCGCGGACCGCCCGGGGCTGCCGCCGCGCAGCCGGCCGGGTCACCAGGTCAGCGGCTGGGTGAGGGTCGGACGGACAGACCAAGTCGGCAGGCAGAGACTGCAGGTAAGGAGAGTTTGGGTACGCTGCGAGAAAGCTGTCGCTGCACCTGTTGATCTGTATCGCTCGTTGGTGGGAATGGGTGTCCGGTGTGGTGCTTCTTTTGGAGATAAGGTATCGCTACGTTCGCTAAATATGATATCATAGGAAAAATAAGAATGTTTTGGGTATACAATATCGTAACTGCAATTGTACATATACCTACATATACCTACTACCTACTATCACAAATGAAGTTAACTTAATTGCATCTGCAATTGATAACAGACTTGATTGACGTAGGTTTTTCAACTTCTTATGTAAGCACGGGATTCTACAAACATCTAGTTCATTGCCGTGTAAGTCCATTGAGTAATTATTAGGTACGATTCTATTTTATTTCTATCGTGCGAACCGGTGTTCAATGCTTTCATTAATTTTACGTGTATTTCAATAAGGTTTCTTCATGCGACGCTGTTTCCGCTTGTTCAGTAAGAGATAAATGAAATAGAAATGCTCGAAAAGTGTAACTTTACAATTTCAATAGCTGTTAACACTTCACTTTTTGCTCACCGGTTTGAACTGTTTTTTATCGACTGTTTTTTTTTTTAGAAGCCAAAACGCATAAGCAATTATTCATTTTTTTCAAAAAGAATCGAGTCTTCACCTCTCCAGACGGGTGCAGTTATTTTTTTACATCTTAGTTTTTGTTTACGCGTTTTTAGACGTTTCTCGGCGCACTGTTGTTGAAGTTATACAGGCCTATTTTACAGCTATGTTTGATTCACAAAACTGCTGCAACTTTTAGAACTTTTTTTTTTGCATATTGACATTTTGATGGAATTGGAATGCATTAAAAGATTTTTATTCTTAAATCTTGAATGCCAATATAATAACAATGTGAATCGAGCCACGCTCGTAGCGAAATATTACGAATCAATGATAACAGTAACCGGCAGAAAATATGCAATTACCGCGATTGTATAAGATAATACTATATGTTCCGCGTGAAATTGACAGGAGATACCACAAGAATAATAGCCTACACAAATATTGAAATAACTGAAAGCTCATAATACCCGCTTAGCACTGCTAACGCTGACCATTTTCTTCGAACATTAAATGCTACCATACCATAACATCTGAAGATAATGAACTTGAACCTCGAAAAGCGAGTTGTCCAGTTTCAGTCTCAGTTTGTGCGGTACTGGGATGCATTCATTATCAGTGAATCAAATAAAAATTGTCCGGGGCATCATGCTGAGATTATATGAACCAGTTAATATGCATAAATCTAGTTATTGGCCAAACGTAACGGCCACGGACCATAGGTTGACGACCCCGAAATTTAGCGAAATGAAGAAGAGGTTCAAGCAGTTTAAATAATGCTGGTGCGTGGAGTTGAATAGTGATGTAAATATGGCCACAGTCTACAAACACGATAACAAACATCGATTGCGCTTCGCTCAACCAGAGCCATGCTCGTTCTTGCTCATGAAACAGTGCATCCCCATAAAATGAAAAGTCTGAACGAATGCATTCAGGTTCCTACCTCTGAATCACTTTATATTGAGATCCGTTTCTTAACAGGAACACAAACGCGGCCCATCAATTTGTCAGTTTTAAGGCAACAGCGTCTGACAAGTGACAACGTATCAAATGGCCAACTTCTGACACTATCTACCAATACGGTAACGGCAATAAAATTGCATTGCAAAATGCAAATAGAATTGCACGATTTCCAAGCGCAGCTTGAAACCAAGTGCGACCAGCTAGTGTCATTTTCACAACCAAGTGCGACCAGTTAGTGTCTCGAGACACATTCCAACTGCATAGGTAGGTACCGCAGTAACCCATTAGGGGTGAAAGGAAACACATGATTTGTGTACGACCAGCGTTCTGTCAGCGTACGACGCATAAAGCAAACTGCTCAAACAACTGCGGTCCCGAACAACACAACACAGAGCTCCGAAACGAATGGTTTACAAAAGTCTACGACTGACGACATCGAAACAGTACGTTCATCGGGACTAGTCACATGACTCGCTCAACCCAGCTGGGTTATGGGTACTAATTGCGCTTCAAAGTGACCTCTGACAGCCGTTTACTTACGCTAGTTTGATGCATAAAACTGTACATTGAAACTCAAGCGGCAGCACATAGGTCTCCATCAAGGTGGTTATATACAACAGAGCACCTCGCTAAAACGAGCGCGAGCGCACGTTTAAAAAAAAAACGCACTGTCACACTAAACCGCACTGTCACACTAAACCGCACTGTCACACTGACAGAACACTGAGCCGCGAGTCGTGACAGTCGCACTGCGTCATATGCACGCAGATGTCGCACTCACGGCATTGTCGCTGGCATTGCGCTGCGGGTGGACACGCGCGGTGCAGTAGCTCCACGGTGTGCGGCTCACCGGAGGGATTACCAGTCTCCGACCGGACAGTCCAGGCGGGAAATGCGGTGTCTTCAATCATGACCGCCGTCCCCGTCTCCGCGGAGGGCCGCACGGCGGCGACGCGGGGGCGTCGGATCTTGAGCTGGTGGACACTGGACTCCTGCCAGAGCTACCAGCTTCAGCCCTTCAGCATCCTGTCATCAGCAAACTCCAGCAGAGCTCCAATGCAACTGGGAAAATAAAATTTATGCTGTTAAGCTAAATCATGCAAAACATTTCCTTGCACAGGATTCTCTTGCGCAGTTCAGTAAAATCTTCTGTGATATCCATGGCCGTGACAAGAGGACTTGATGCCATTGTAAAAAAAATATAGGTGCATTGGTTCTCATTTACCCACATCAAGCCTCTATAGGTACCATTCACTTGTATATCATGAAGTATGTTAACTACACAATATTTATGCAATAGACTGACATGAAATATGTAGGAATGGCAAGAGAGATGGGTAAATAAGCCAAATAGGTTGCAGGATTTATTGGCACCAAACAGGTCAGAAAGTAGAAGTTCAAACAATCTTACAAAGTACAAACTACACCAGAGAAAGTCTTTGAATTAGGTACAAAATCATGCCACAGAAATAAAAACAATGCAGTTTTGTAGAGCATTTCCCAAAAGATAATTGTGATTCAGCCTTGCTCCCATTCTGAGATTGAATAAATACAAATTATGAGGTGAAAGTTACTCAAAAGCAGTTTTTTTTTTTTAGAAAACAGCTTCAATCCATGTTTGCCTGAGTTCAAACTCAAGGCAACATCTCATAGCTTTGACAGCATGAAATTTCATTATTGAGGTTACAATTTCCATAATCTTGTCACAAACAGTGCACTTTAATATGAATAACTAACACCAAATCAGCCAGCCTTGTATCTTTATCTGGTGAAACTCATGAAACCAATAAAGCAAACAATTTCTGAGTAAAACATTTAGGTATTTGACAAGTTCAAGCACTAGCCACTGGAGCGGTATGATGTGGTCTCGTAACTTGAACGTTCAGTCTGTAAGAGCATGCCTGACTTGACTTAACGGCTTTGAGGCATCACAAAGACTTTTGCAGCAGCTCCTATTCTTTTTTAACATAAACTTAAACTATCATTACCATGCTATGATGATGAGGTGGCTGGTTTCGGGCGCATGAAAAGTAGCAGCCCTTCTTCCATTTTATTTCCTTGATTTCACATGCTGCACAAAATGTTTTTTCTTCCACGTTCCTTCTGTCTTTATAAAAAATAATAGGTAACATAATTGCTTCACTTCTTCTTTATATTCCAAGCATTGCTGCTGCAATCCATCACATTTCCCGTTAGTAAACCATTGCTCTATGGCCGCTAAAGTAAATAAGTGGAATGCGCCAGAAATTGTCAAAATCGCGCCAAAATAGTAAACTAAGATGAGAAAAAATAACCGCACCCCTCCAGACTACCGGTATGGAGCATGGCTTGATGATTTGATGACCTCAATTGTTGTCAGCAAGTCATTTGGAAAATGATCTTTGCGTGAAAGAGAGCAGGGTATCAAGGCAAGTAAATAGAACTCGAGCAGAGCTAGAAAAAGAAAGCAAATAAAAAGTAGCAGTATACCGGTTGGCCCAGAAAAAACGTTCCGAACTTTGGAGGCCTATATATCAAATTCGAGTACAAATAACGAGCCAATTTTTTCATCAAGTTTGCGTCATTTCTTTGCGCATTAGTATGACAAATTATAACACTATACCATCATTTTCAAGCTGGAAATCTTGAGTTGAAATAACTAATAAGCAAGACGTTTTTGCTTTTTTGCCGATGTCAAACGATAGTGATGATAGGGTTAGACGTCGCATGTTATAAAAAAGAATAAAATAGTGATGATAGGGTTAGACGTCGCATGCTATAAAAAAGAATAAAAAATAAAGCACGTGAATGAAACCAACACGTATGTTCTTATTTTAAATATTTTTGTCTCACTATGTGCCAAATATTCAAATACTAAGCCAAAATGGTGCTCATGGATGTCATTCGTTTCAACACCAAATCATGTTTCGAGCAGGAGTGGCAAGGTGCATGGATTACTGCTGATTACCCTCCTTTCAGTAGATTAAACAGTAAATCGACCGGATAAGGAAAACAAACTAAAGCAGACTGGTTCCTGTGCCAGAAGACCACAGAATAGCTTATGAAAAACAACATTGCCAGACGATGACAAAAAAAAAAACTGGTTGAAAAGCTACCTTTTCCCAGGAATGTCAGCCAGGAAAGCATTTGAGCCACAAGATGGTTAGAAAACTGGAAACTTCTTCCGATGCCGCTGGCACAGAGCCATCGTGGTTGCCTGAGGGAATGTGTCATCCTGATACCCGAACCATCAATGAGACTAGCTGCCAGTAGAAGTCATGGCTCTAGGCCGCGGTGCCGCGGGGTGAAAGTGTTCACCCGTTCACTCACATTTTTTAGTAAGCATCGGAGCAAAAAAGTATTTTTTACATGACATGCTTGAAACAAGAACCGTTTAAAAAGTAATTTACCGAACACCATGAAAATCGCACCATTTACTGAAAATGTGTGCCGCATTGACTATTCGAAGTTTCAAT